TCAAATGTAAATAAAAAAATTGACAATAACAGTTAACTAGTGAGGAGAAATTATGATATTAGGGGGGGGGCGTTTTTTTTTCTTTTTTTTTTTGGGGGGGGGGGGGGGGGGGGGGGGTTCGTGGCGCAGGGAGGATAAATAAATTGAAAATAGAAGAGATTTATTTTGAACAAGGAAAGAAATAAGGGAATCAGAGAGGATTTCTTTTTTTGCTTTCCTTAGTGTAAACAAGAAATAAGGGAAAGATAGGATTTTTCTCTTTTTTTCTTTTTCTAAACAGAAATAAGTTTGAAAAATAGAAGAGGAAGAAAATAAACGAAAATAAGACGAGATAATTAACAACAAAGGTGCAAACTAAATAACAGAACAAGAGTGCCGAGCAAAAATCTTGATAATAAGAAATATATGGGGACGGGAGAGTTGTGAAAAATCAAGCGAGAGAAAAGAAAGAAAATATGTGGTAATGGTTTCTGAAGCAAGAAATAAGGTAGACGATGAGAGGGATGAAAATTATGATATTAGCGTTTTTTTTTTTTTTTGGGGTGGGGGGGGGGGGGGGGGGGGTGAGGGGGAATGGGGAGGATAAATAAATTGAAAAATAGAAAGATATTATATTTGAACAAGGAAAGAAATAAGGGAATCAGAGAGGATTTCTTTTTTGCTTTTCCTTAGTGTAAACAAGAAATAAGGGAAAGATAGGATTTTCTCTTTTTTTTCTTTTTTCTAAACAGAAATAAGTTTGAAAAATAGAAGAGGAAGAAATTAAACGAAAATAGACGAGAGATTAACAACAAAGGTGCAAACTTAAATAACAGAACAAGAGTGCGAGCAGAAATTCTGAAATTAAGAAAATATAGGGGAGCGGGAGAGTAGTGAAAAATCAGGCGAGAGAAAAGAAAGAAAATATGTGGTAATGGTTCTGAAGCAAGAAATAAGTTGACGACGAGAGGCTTTAAGAGGAGGAGGATGAAAGCATTTTAGTGCGATATCAAACCAAAGACGAAGCTTCTGAAAGCAAAAACAACAAATACCCTTATACTCTTTAAATATTAAATATTTTAGGGGTCAAATAAAAGGACCAAAAAATTGGGCTTTTCAAAGCTGACCTTTCATCCAATTTCTTGACTTTTATACCCTTATCTCCTTACATAATCACTTCAACATCAAATAAGATGGTTAAACAGAGATGCTGAAAGTCTTGTGTTATTGACATTTTAAACTGGTTTCTAAGGTTGTATTTTTAATCCGATTACTGAAAAAAGCTAATTCAAATTAGCAAAAACTAAAACAAACAAACAAATCTATTATATATATATATATATATATATATAATATGGATTGAATCTTGATGATTGTATTAATCAGGTTATGTGTTTAGAAATGGGAGATCAACAATCAAGACCATTGTTCAAACTAGGATATAATGGTGGCAAAAGTGAAATTTGATAAATAAACAGAAACAAACAAAGGTATTATTTAATTTTAAGTGGTGAAATAATATTCAAATATAAGTTTAAAAGTTTTGGTTGGATATTGGGTGGCCACGGCGGGTCAAAGCCTAACATAAGTCCACCACTATCAAGACAATATATATATATATATATATATATATATATATATATATTTAATATATATATATAATTATATATAATAATATATATATATAAAACTTTTGGTGGGATATGAGGGGGCCATGGCGGCTATAAACCTAAGCATAAGTCCACCATTGATCAAAACATAAAATATTTCTTGCATTAAATTATTTTTCAATCGAATATGTTAAAAAAATTAGGTATCTATTATTGTAATTTTAAAATATTTTATACAATTCTTTAAACTGCTCGAAGTTTGTCCCAAACCTGACAAATGATAAAATCTAATAAATAAACAGGCTAAATAGAGGTATATATTTTATTTCAAGTGGCAAAATTAATATTCATGTCTATAAATTTTAAAACTTCTGGTGGGATATGAGATGGTCATGGCGGCTCTAAGCCTAAGCATAAGTCTGCAATTGATCCAGACGTAAAATATTTCTATCATTAAATTATTTTTAAAATCGAATATGTTAAAAAGATTAGGTATGATTGTAATTTAAACATATTTTAATACCATACTTTACCACACCCCCAACAAAGGTTGTCCCAAACCCGATAAATCCCCTGAGGTACCGTCATTAACTTAAAACCCCCTGACATTGGTCATTTTTAGTTAGTTTCACAGTAAGAGGGTGAATGACTTTAATATCCTCGTCTTCCCATCCTAACACCCCACTTCTTCTTAACATGCCCAGCAGGCAACAGCCAGCGACTACCCTATCATGCCCCAAATTCTCGTCCCCTGTATAAGCCATTGAACACCCTCTTTCTGTCGTAGAATGAAGCTTACCGCAACTATACTCACACAAATTTAAAAAAAAAAAAGAAAAAAAAGAAAAATCATTTGGGCTTTTCATCAAACATCTTCTATGCTTTTTTAAACTCTCCTCTTGCAACAACTTTCTACCTTTCTGATACCGACATAACATCGTTAATAATTTGGGGTGGGAAGATACGAGGAAGGGAGGAAACACGATGGAGAAAGGGGTGCAAGCGGCTGTGGTTTCGCTAAGCTAGGTTGCAGGCGGCTATAGAGTGGGGTTGCGAAAGGGTTTTGCGTTTGTTGGTGGGTTTGGGTTTTGCGATAGGTGAAAGTGATTTATCTTCTTTTTTTAAGCTTTTATAATAATTTGATTAATTATTGCTTAACTATAAAATTTAGTGGCAATGCACTCTTTTGCCCTCGTCTTATTAAAACTAACAGAAAAATATGGACACTCACCTAACTGCAGAGGGTTTTAAGTTAATCCTGATACTTAAGGGTTTATCAGTTTAGACCAAACCTCACGATATGCATGTTTAGAACAATCCAAAAGTAAAAACAAAAAAGCCAACAACTTTGTGCATATAAATATTAATAATCAAATAAATAAGTAAAAATTAGATAATTTGGTCAAATTGAAAGTGACCCAAAACCTAATGTGATGCCGGACACATTATTTAAAACCAAAATTTTGTTTAATTTCCTCTTTTGTTTGATTTAGTTTTCTTATTTAATTAGAATTCCACATCACCAAGTTAAAAGAAATTAATTATACTAAATATAATAATCCTTGGACAACTTTCAAACAAGCAACATGCGTTGGCTTTTTAAATATAAAAATTAATATATAATTCAAAAACGAAAGCTCCAACTACAATTTAATTATTCTTGCCACTTGCAAATGCTACTGGGACTTTTTCTCACTTAGAATTAATTTGATAATTTATTATAATTAAAATATAGCTAAGTCAGGACAAAACAGAGATAATTGCTTGTCAGTTTCATAGGTCACTGATTTTCTGAAGGTGCATTTCCAGGAAGCTGAGCTCATGAAAAAGAGCTTAGAAAAGTGCAGAGCTCCCATTAAGTTCTCAGGACACTTGTCCATGAAGGCTAATGCAGTCAATTTACCTATATTTTTAATTTAAAAAGAACGTTGACTTCAAAAAACATCATATAATAGAATAAAGAACAAAATATGAGTTTTGTTTACTTTACTTGGTACTTGAATGTAATAAAGCATTTTTTAACTCATTTTTATTTGAAATTGGTAAATAAGTTAAGAACTAAATTGTTTTAGAATAAAAACGTACTTAAGAATTAAATTATTTCATAAAGAAGTTTTAAAGAATGGAAATACAAATTTAAATATTATTCTAATTTTCCGCTTTATATTTTCACACTTAAACAAAGAAGAAAAAAGAAAAATATTAAACCCAACATCTCTTTCTACTTTTTTAAATAGCTCTTTTAGATATCAACTACAACAAATCAATATTTTAAACAATTGGTACATTGTACAAGGGTATTTTCGTTCTTACGAATAGTATAAAATAACATATTTCTCTAATCGCCGTTAGATTATTAGATGTGTTTGTAAGTTTTNAAAAATGAGAATAACATGAGTAAACTTAAGATGCATAATTTTAAAATAAAATAATAAAAAAAATATTTACATGATAAATCTAAATTTGAAATAATAGTTGTAATTGCTAGAAAACAATGCCACAGAACAATTAAAAACTACTAAAAACAACAATTAACTGCTTAGAAAAGCAAAATGAGCAAAAATCATAAGAGGCAGTAAAAGTGGTTTTCAATTAAGCAATAAGGACAGTTTTTGTGAGACTATATAATTAAAGATCTCCTAAACCACAAAATCTCCACTAATAGTTAGTACTAGATTCCAAAACTATCCAAAAGAGTAGCTTGTCGAAAAATCTTTTTGATGCCCAAACCTTGTAGTAAGATACCATTGACATGTAAAAACTAGAATACTTCCACTGAAACAATAGGAAACAATGACAATGAGGTATAGAAAAAGCACTGCAATACACATTTTTGTTTCCTTGCATTAATGAGAACACGGAAAGAAAAATACAGGAATTGGCAAGAGGGGTATAATTTAACTTCTAGAATCACAACTCTAAAGGAAAATGAGTTACAAACAAAAATACAGGATGTGAAGAGTGTATGTTCATATGGGGTACAATACTTGGTGGGTAACATTATTTCAGATACATTTTTAAATCATAGTTTAAGAAATAATTGAATCTTATTTTGAAGGTTTATTGAAAACATAACATTAGGTCAATTTTCAAAAAAGAAGCCAGAAAATAAAATATGAGATATATGTCCTTTTATCAATGTTATGTTATTGTTGATGTAATTGATCCATTTTGTCTCAATATTTTTCTTTCTCAAATTGTTGATATTCATAATCTTTTTTTGAAGAAAATATTAATAGTATAAATGAAAGAGAAATGCACTTCAGCTTAAAAACAAGGCTTCCCAACACAATATCAGGATTTTTTCTTAATAAATGGAAGTGAATTTAGTTTCTTCATATTTAATTGTGTTTGACAAAAGAAAAAAAAAAAAATCTATTATATTACAAATGGAAAGATGCATCAACGACATGAAAAAAAATGAACTCCATTATTGATCAAGTCAGCATACAAAGTCCAATGAAAGAGTTATCTCATAGCTTACTTCAGAATAATGAAAAGCTTCCGTGGTTCCTCAATCCCATGCCATGTGGAGCATTTTTCAGAACACTCAGCTCATAAAGAAAAGCTTAGTAAAGTGCAGAGTTTCAACTCACTTTCAGTCCAATTAACTTCTCAGGACATTTGTCTATAGAAAAGTCCCTTCTCAGCAACTGAATCAAAACTACCCGTCACCTGTTGAAGAAACCAGAAGCTAAACTTAGCACACAACGTCCATGGAGAAATAAAATTAACTTATTTACTTATTTGTCATCGTGTATTAAGCTAAAAACAAATAAACATATGGGTAGGAATCTATTTAATCCTTCCTAGAAAAGTAATGGGGTCAGCCTTCAACACTTCAGAAGTTCAACATGAAATATTATATCTGAAATAACAAACGCTACATTCTCTCTGTAATATAAAGAAGACGAACCTTTAGAGATTTTTCAAGATTATATATATGTGATATTCGATACAGTAACTTTCCAAATGTATTTAAAATGATGATCTAAGTATAGACAAATTCTGAAACCTTAAAAGATTTGTCAAGATTTCCTGAGAGCCAAGCAGAAAAGTCATCCTGCAATAATGCAAGCACACTTTAGTACACATTTCATTTCATAACCCCAAGAACTTTCTAAATTTTCCTCTATAAGACCTTCTACCAGAAAAGAAATTCTTTAAAAATGCTAATGAAACATTTTCAAAGTTACCTAAGTTTATGTGAATCATTGAGTATATAAGAAATTAAATACTTACAAATAAGTGTCAATTGCAGAAGGTTAAATTAGAAAAATCAGTGCATCTATTATGAGTTAAACTTAACATCAATTTACATTAGAAGTGGGAATTCCACACAGACAATTCAGCCTTATACCTAACTGATGGAGCCTCCTGTAAAATTGACTAAAACCAACAGCAATACACAAAAAAGTAACAAGCAAGAGAACAAACACGCGGATATGAACTGTATTAGTATTAATATAAGGGTTGAAATAACAAATGAAGAAGTATAGCACCCAAACAGATAGATTCCCAGCAGTTCGAGGAGCTGAGGAGCCTCCCTTAATGACCTATGAAGAATTTACTTGATAATCACCTCACACTCTCTCTCTCTTTACTATACACTAATTACCCTTTACTAACTGACACTAAATCCATCCTCTAAATATCAGCCATGTGTATATTCTTTTAACAAACTCACTCACACTCTCCACACTCACTGCCCTTAACGCCTATTCTTGCCTTTCAACTTGTAGACCTTGCCCATGGGTGGTCTATCACTAACTACAGATCAGTATGGTTGACCTAAAAAAGGATTATCTCAATTCATCAAGTTAATTTGACTAACATAAAATCTTTAGTACTACCTTCCAGCGTTAGCAATGCCACCGATGTCATTAATGATGCTTATCTTTGCCTGATTTGACTTTGAACCTAAAAGCTTCGAGAGGACCTGTGAAACAAGGTTCAAGTCAACTAAAATATTTCTTTAATCATCATTCATGAGTCATTGTCTTCATCAACTGCACTTCTGAATCATCTTCATTAATTGGATCATCATCCTGTATAAAAATGAGAATAATATAAGTAAATTAAGATGCAAAATTTTAATACAAAATAATAATAATAATAAAGTATATATGATAGATAAAAATATGAAATAAAAGTTATTCTTTACGAATGCTTCTATAGGATATAGTGACAATGAGGTAAGGAAAAGCACTACAATACTCATTTTTGTTTACTTGAACAATTGACAATGAGGTAAAGAAAAATACAGGAATTAGCAAGATAGTTTAATTTGACCTCTAGAGTCACAACTTTAAAGGAAAATAAGCTAAAAACAGAATTGCATATTATACGTCTGAGAAAATATCTCAAGAATGAAATTAATTAGACCTTCTGGAATGGATATGGCCCTGTAGTTGTGACCGAGTCCAGCTGGTTTACAGATTCCATCTAGAATGTGGTCTGCGATATTTTCCAGTGTTTGCTTCTTGAAAGTAACCTGTAGAAAGATATATCCCAGTCAAAGAAAAGATTTGTACAAAAAGCTGATTTCTTAAGTCAGTGATATAGGAGCAGAGATAACGAATAGATAGAATAGTAGGAATAGAGAAATTATCAAAATAAAAATCTTTGAATATCCACAGAAAATTATACCGATGTGTACATGTTCCTTGCTTCAAATAGTAACCAAGAAACAAGTTTTCAACTTGATTTCCTCAGCGATTGAGCATAATGAAGTCAACATTTAAGTATAAAAAGATTCCCTAATCACATTTTAAAAAAGAAATGAGATGTTTCTAAAGACAAAGATGAAAAAAGATAAACTAAATCTGTTATATAATGAAGCAGATTTATTATCATATCAATAACTCAATTGTTTAATAGGAGGCGGAAGAAAATTTAAATTGATGTTATTGGAGAATGAAAGTCTAAGAGCATGCACAATTAAGTAATTGAAAATTATCCATGCTATTCCTCAGGGACTTTGAGAACTAACAAATACATGTAGTAAAGTTGAGCGTCCACTAAAAAAGGTTTCTTCAAAAGAATACATGTAGGACCAAGGTGCAGAAGTTCAAAAATATTTTGACCTATAAACTTCATTTAGTGACTGATGGCATGCAAGAAACATTAAAAAGTGGCACCCAGAACCGCAGAGACTGATACTAAGATAAATAAGAGATAAGTTATTAATTGATTTACATATTTCTTTATATTAAAATTTGAATCACGCACTTGCGGCATATTCAAGCATGTCATTGGTTCCTTTAATTTGACATTCTCACAATCATATGTACCCTGAAAACTTTATCATTTTTCATAATTCCACCATTCATATTTTTGTTAGCTGTACTCTGGTCATTTTTAAAAGATTTTTACACATAGCTCCTCATTGCCACTGTCGAGATGTATGACAAAAATGAAGAAACCAGCAGCACAAAATTACTTGTTGGCAATAATTCAAAATTTATAAGCATGCCATTGCTCCCTTTGAACATCTTCACCTCCACTACACGTAGTAGTCAATTCACAAACTTACAGTTTCTTAACAACCAAAAGCTCTGCTATACTAGTCATGGTCAGCCTCTGACAGTAATAAATTCATACAGTAGTCAATTCCAATAGTTAATTAAGATCCTTAATCTTCAATGATAAAGGACGCATATTCTCAACAATACCCAAGAAAAACACTTACAAGCTAAATTTTACATACCCTAAAAGGTTTCACTAAAACTACACATCAAAGCCCCAAACCATGCAGAACAAAAACCAAGAAAAAAACTTTTAANGTTATCAATTGTAGTCATAAGGGAGATTTTTTTCCTTACCTTAGTAGTCAAAGCAAAAGGACTCCTCCTTGGCTCCAAAGGTTCACCTTTCTACCTTACACACATAACCACTTATGAATTTCTCTTTTAACTAAAAAATCACATCATCATCAATCCATAATTATTAGAACTAATTTTGATTTTACATTAACTTTATATTTAAAATAATATTTCCTTTTTTTCTTTTTAGAGGTGTCAAATAGTCAAGTAAGTTGAGATAATATTAAATTTATTGTTTTTAGTGGTAACAAAACGTTCTCACTGTATGCAATATTTATGTACTATCAATAATCATTCATATGAACTATGTATAAGTCAGTATTATTTGTTTTAAAAAAAAAATCCAACCCGCCCACCCACCCCCCCAACAAGTTTCTTGGTTTCACCCCTAATTATTCGTTAGCTAAGTTTGTTTAATTAATTTAAGCATGCAACAAAGTTGTTGAAAAGTGATGCAATGCACAAGAAATAAAGGCATAGAAATTAAGGTGTCGAATTTAGTCAATATATTGTGTCTCCACGCATGCTCCACTAATCTCATATTTTAACATTAATTATAATATTTCAAAAAATTCAGCAAAATTAAAATAAAATGTGTGTATCTTTCGAGAAATTTAGCAAAAATAAAAATAGAAGTCTTTGGGGAAAGAGAAGAGAAATTTTTAAATATTTGGGGTGTATTGGAAATTTCGCCTATCGTGCTGTTGAAGGCTTGAAGCACATAATGCGTTAGCAGTCATGATGCCGCTGATAAGATCAGAAATAGAAAATGATCAAAGAAAAGGAAACAATCATGTGCAGCAAAAAGAACAATATACATATGTTAAAATAAGAATGAAACTAGATTTTCTGCTATAACACAATAGATATCAGTATCAACTACCTTGACTTCGATTGAAATATAGTCTGCAAATGCAATTGTTTGATAAGAATACAGAATGAGCAACAAAAACATTTATCAAATGATTAAAGCAGTGGATGTCAAACAGTGCAAGTTGCAACATTCATTGGATACCACTCGAGTAATCTATCAGTTCAACAATNGACCACATTTGAATACTTTGAAAACTATAAATTTCACTCAAAAGAAACAATTGGTTCAATTTGATTTATTCAGGAGCAATTCGATGTATTTGCACTTCATGATCAATGAAACACAAAAATCACATTTTCAAACAACATTTCAAGCAAACCACGTTTTAAACTTACAGATCATATAGATCCTCACCCAAAATTCCTGAGATCACATTGTATCCACCTGTCGCCTAAAGCCCAGTCAAACACGACGCGGATTTTCAACTTCTGATCTTCCTGAAGCCTATCGACATCATTTGGCACCAATATCGCCGATCCTTGCGAACAGATTCCGGAACAACTTGGCAATCTCATCTGTGAAATTAAAAAATTAACAAATATAAACACACATGTTCTATTAGTTTTAATGATAAGTATTTGAGACGATGAAAATGACCTGGACCGCTGGCGGTTTGAGCAGGCGGGACCGTCAGACGATTTTTAAAGGGTTCGGAGAATGAAAGGGAAAGGACACACGTGGTCGATACGGCTCATTTGAAATTCACTGCAAACTAAAGCCAGGCAGCCGTATCGACCGCGTGTAAGCTAATATTTATATGAAGAAAATGCAGCCATGGTGAAAGTAGTAGGAGATGTCTCCTACTACTTTCACCATGGCTGCATTTTCTTCATATAAATTTACACGGTTGGATAATATTCTAAAGTCCCTGTAAGCTAATATTATTTCAATTTTATCCTAACAGAATATTCGAATAGTCCCTCAAAATTTTAATCAATATCATATATAACCTTGTAATTTCTTAAAAGTTATATTCTTACTAATATCACACACTTACCATATGACTTTGCTGTGTGAACATTCATAGTTTGCTATCCAACTCACTCTTCTTCTCCTTTATATTTTTTACAAAACTCTTGAAAAATCTGTAATAATAGAGAACAACATGTTAAGAGTAGAAGCAGAAACTATAGAGAATGCTGCTTTAATTTTGGGACTCTAATTAAACAAGAAGATGAGGAATTTCCTCAACAACCACCTAAATACTTCAAAAACACAAATATTCAAGTGTAACTTTAAAGAAAAAAATAGTGTTTGGTGTATACTAATTAATGTTACTTGCTCCTATGCCCTTTGTCCTGCTTTCAAATATAAATTGTAATATTGCTTCTCTATATATACTTGATAGTGTCTATAATTGATTCACTTAGAGGATTTTAATCAAAGACAAAATCAATTATAAGACAATGAACTATCAAATTATACCTGCACAAATTGAAATACAATTTAAACTGTCAGATAATACACTTTTAAGGACTTAATTAATCTCATCAAATGTAATTTATCTAACAAGCATTAATTAATGCCTATCGACCACATTTGAATACTTTGAAAACTATAAATTTCACTCAAAAAAAACAATTGGTTCAATTTGATTTGTTCAGGAGCAATTCGATGTATTTGCACTTCATGATCAATGAAACACAAAAATCACATTTTCAAACAACATTTAAGCAAACCACGTTTTAAACTTACAGATCACATAGATCCTCACGCAAAATTCCTGAGATCACATTATATCCACCTGTCGCCTAAAGCCCAGTCAAACGCGATGCCGATTTTCAACTTCTGATCTTCCTGAAGCCTATGGACATCATTTGGCACCAATTTCGCCGATCCTTGCGAACAGATTCGGGAGCAACTTGGCAATCTCATCTGTGAAATTAAAAAATTAACAAATATAAACACACAAGTTCTAGTAGTTTTAATGATAAGTATTTGAGACAACGAAAATGACCTGGACTGCCGGCGATTTGAGCAGGCGGGACCGTCAGACGATTTTTAAAGGGTTCGGAGAATGAAAGGGTTTATATTTTTCACAAAACTCTGAACAATCTGTAATAATAGAGAACAACATATTAATTTTGGGACTCCAAATTGATGATAATTTATCAATTGAACAAGAAGATGAGGAATCTCCTCAACAACCACCTCAATACTACAAAAACACAAATAATCAAGTGTAACTTTAAAGAACAAAAATATTGTTTGGTATACACTAATTAATGTTACTTGCTTCTATGCCCTTTGTCCTGCTTTCAAATATAAATTGTAATATTGCTTCTCTAAATATACTTGATAGCCTATGATTGATTCACTTAGAGAATTTTAATCAAAGACAAAATCAATTATAACACAATGGGGATTAACTAGTATTAATTCAATGAAGGAAATCAAAAAAATCAATAGAAAAAATACATTGTTAATAAGTAAATTAATACTTACCATTTTGTAATTCTTGTATGATTGTATCAAGGTCACTCTCCGAACAATCTTTATAGTTCAGCTTTTCTAACCTTGGCATGCTTAAGTCTCCTTCAGAGAAAGTCTTCATCTTGGAGCATTGATATATATCTAGTCTTTCCAAGTTTGGGAATTTTAAGGTGTAACTTCCAGAGCAGAAGCATGTGAGACTTTCTAATTTATACATATACAAGTACTCCAATTTCTCAAAAACAATGGTACCTTCCTCTGTATCTCCCTCATTTGCTAATGCTTCTATCATCATTTCACATTCTCCTACTCTCAAACTTACTAGTTGCACTAGACTCCTTGCTGTTGAGGATGACACTAAATTTCCCAATCCATTACAGTACTTTATCTCCAAAGTACGTAAATTTTCAAAAGATGCTGAAGATGGCAACAAAGTAGTCAAATTGTGACAATATTGCACCTCTAGACGATAAAGATTTTGAAGAATTGAGTTTAATCGGGAGTCTTGTTTCCAAAAACACTTTAAATTAAAAAGTCTTAACAATTCTAGAACTTTTAATTTTGTGAGTGTCCTAACGTGTTCCTCATCCTCATTACATGAGAATATCTCTTCGTACGAACTCCCTTGAAGTTTGAGTTCTTCAAGACGGCTAAATTTTTGAAGGATTTGAATTGGAATGTTTGTTGATTCATCCTTTATCAATTGAAGAGTCTTTACTTTGCCAGAATTCTTTGGAAGTTCACCTTGCCAAATCCGTATGATATCCCCTTCACTCAATCTCAATGCCGTCAAATTAGAGTCAACCTAAAGATCAATCATGTGAATCAAATTAGAATAAGAAAATTGATGAAAGCATGGTTGTTACAAATATAAAACCATTGTTTTAGAAGTTTCCAAGAAAAACATAAGAGAGTGCATGACGTAATCTAGTTCAACAATAATGTTATGCTTAGCCTATACAAAAACTATGTGGTATCAAGGTCAACATTAATTGTTTAAAAGATAATTAATTTTAATTAACACTAAAAACATAAATTAATTTTTTTTTTTTAAAAAAAAGGGAAAGATAAATAAATGTTTAAACTAATTAATTGAATACATCTACCTTTGCTTTGCGAGCTTGTTGTATGGTTGTATTAAGCTCACTCCCCCCATTCTTTAAATCCTTCACCGCCCAATCATAACGAATTTTGTGTAATTTTGGTGTGCTTAAAATTCCTCTAGAGAAAGTATTCATACTGGGGCAAAAATATATAAATAACTCTTCCAAAGATGGGAAATTGAAAGAGTAATTCCCAGAGCAAAAGAAAGTTAGACTTTCTAAGTTTTGAAGTGACAACTTCTTCAAATTGTTAAAAACAATTTCAGTTATTGTTGTTGTTGCATCTACTTCTCCCTTATTTTCTACTATTTCTATCAGCATTTCACAACCAATGATGCTCATGTCTCTCAACTGCACCAAGCTTCTAACCATTGAATGTGTCATTAACTTCATCAACCCCTTACAATGAGTTACTCTCAAAACTTTTAGATTCTGCAAAGAAACTGAGGATGGCACTAGACTCTTCAATCCATCACACCATTGTATATCTAGAACTTCAAGGTTTGGAAGATCAGATAGGCTGTTGATTTGCTGATGGGTGGGCCTCCCAGTATGTTTCTCTTCCTTTCCACACGAGAATATTTCTTTGTATTTGCACTTATATAGTTTGAGCTCTTTCAGATTTTCAAATCTATGAAGAATTTCAAGTGCAATACTTGCTGACTGATCATAATTGATCTCAAGAACTTTAGATTGACTCTGCCATGTAATCATTTCGATCTCATTACATAATTCCAATCTCTCCAAATCTGAGTTCATCTACAAATCCATCAAAACAAAGTCCAGTTAGTTTTTTATATTCTTAAAACAAAACTTTTATTGTTGGCTTAAAAGTCATAGGCCAAAGAAAAACTATGGAGGCAATTTTATTTTTAGTTTTAAAAAAGAAAATCTAATTTACTATTTTTGATAGTTCAACTACAATCTATTTAAAAATTGTAAATTATATTTTTGTTATTATTTTTAATTTCCCGTCACTATTAAAATTACATTCAACAACTATTTTTTTTTAAACTACTAATTAAACATACTTTTTAGATTTTTTTTTACATTATTTTGCAAAAAAAAAAAAAAAAAAGTATTAAGATTACATTCATTTTTATTTCTCATTTTCAAATGAAATTTTTTTTTTTTAGGTGACTAAAACTTGGGAAGGCATAATTTAAGTTAATTTTATTTTTCAATAAACAATTAAATAATTAAAGATTCATACCATATCGTTCAAGAAGAGGGATTTTTGCTCTGAAAGATGAAGTTCACCCTCGTTATTTTCTTGGGAGCTCAAATATTTTGAAGTAATGAATTTGCCACAAGAGTTCACCACCAACTCTTTTAACATTGGCCATTCAAAAGTATGACAGAAAGCCGTAAATTCTGGTAGACATTCAAGCTTCAATGAGGTTACATGCGGAAAGACAAAATTGTCATCTTCATTTGCTCCTTTTGCCACAATCTCTTGCAAAACCTTACAATTATTTATCTTTAGGTATTGGAGTTGGTGGAGGCTTTTGGCGATGGAAGATGGAAAGGCATACTTTATGTTTTCACAACCCGACAAAATCAAGTGCGTCAAATTTTGATAGAAGGAATTTGGATGTTGGCTGTAGCAAATCTCTCTAGAATTGATATCCTTGAACGTCCATAACTTCAAATCCAGGGAAATGTCCTACAGTAAAGGTTAATAGTTGTTTTAATATAAAGTAATCAAAAATAATAATTATTGTTTCTAATGGATTACAAAAATATGTCTATTTGTAACTCTTAATAATTTCTAAAAGGCCTAGGCCCAAACTAAACAAATAATAATATAAAGTTGCATTCTCTATCTTGCTTTAGGCTTTAAATGAGTAAATATTTAAACCAATTACTTGAATACATACCTGATTTTTGTATGCTCCTTTTATGGTTTTATTAAGATCATTCTCCTCATTCTCTACTTCCATTATATCCCACTTCGCTTTAGTCTCATTGTAGCTCTCATAATTGACTTTGTGCAACTTTGGTGTGCTTAAAATTCCTTGAGAAAAAGTCTTCATATCAGGGCATTCTCCTATAATTAACTCTTCCAAAGATGGGAAATTGAAAGAGTAATTCCTAGAGCAGAAGCATACGAGATTTCCTAACCATCTAAGTGACAACTTCTTCAAATTATCAAAAACAATTTCAGTACTCGTTGTTGCATCTCCTTCTCCCTCATTTTCTACTATTTCAATCAGCATATGACAGCTCTTTAGGCTCATTTCCCTCAACTGCACCAAACTTCTAGCCGTTGAAGGTGTTATTAACTTCTTCAACTCATTGCAGCAATCAACTCTCAGAACTTTAAGATATTGGAAAGTAGCTAAGGATGGCCTTAGAGTGATTTGCATATGTTTCTCATCCTTTCCCCATGAGAATATTTCTTTGTATCCACAGGCTTTTAGTTGAAGCACTTCCAAATTTTCAAATTTCTGAAGGAGTCCAAGTAGAGTATTTGCTAACTTATAATCATGAAAGATCTCAAGAGTTTTAGATCGACTCTGCCATTTAATATTCCCTTTATGCTCTAAATCAAATTCCTCCAAACGAAAGTTGATCTACAGATTCATTGAAACAAAATCTAATTAGCTTTTTATTTTCTTAAAACAAAAGTTTAATTGTTGGCTCATAATTCACAAACCAAACACAAATTACAGAGGCAAATTTAAAAAAAAAAAAATTAATTAATTGTTTTTGATAATTCAACTGCAACATATTTTAAAACTAGTATATTACATTTTATTTTTATTTTAATTTTCAAATCAATATTAAAATTACATTCAAAAACTACTTTTGAAAACTATTGACTAAATTGCTTTAAAAAACTTGATCTACAAATCCATCAAAAGAAAATCCAGTTAGTTTATTATTCTCTTAAAAGAGTACTTTTATTATTTTATTAAATGTTGTTTAAGATTTCAACTCCTAATCGGCTCATCCCACCAATAAGTTGGACTTTGGACAAATTACAAATTTCTTTTTTAATTAAATTTTTTAGTGTAATTAAAACATGTTTATAACATTATAGGCATATAATATTACATTACATAATGTATTTACCATAACATAATTCCGCAGATAATCAGTATAAATTTCTACTTACAAAGAAATTGGTCGATAATTGATGGACATTTATTTTAATATAATTTGTTTAAAATTTGTTCGCTACCAGATCATGTTAGTTTGGTTGGGTTTCAAGTTGCAAATGTCTTTTGTATAATGTTTCCAATAATTAATAAGAAGGTTCACTTGTTAGACATATTTCTAGTAAAAATAAAAGAAATATTATCAAATGAGTGATAATGTTTTATGAAATTATAAGAAAAAAGATTGCACATTAAAGGCGTAAAATAGTCTGTTTCATCTTTAAAATAAGGGGATTTTTGACATTTGTATGCGTTACTCTTTTTTGAGTTAATTTAAATGTTTTTGGGCTGCTAAGTTTCTTCTTTTTGTTTTAAAAACTTGTGTCTTTTTCTTAAAAAATAAATAAATTATATTGATTATTTTAATGAGATTAATTGACAAGACTCTTCTAACAAAATTGTTCAAATCCAACTAATTATTAATTTTATTTTTATTTTTCTAAATTTTTTTTCCAAAAAATAAAAATAAAAAGAGAGATGTTAAGAATCACATTACTTACTAATTTATGATATACACACATATATAAAGAAGGTTTTGTTTTTCCTTTTCAATAAAGAAGGAAACAAGAGACTCATACCTGATGCTCTAAGCAGAAGGAATTTGGCTCTGAAATATGAAGTGAATTTTCCTGGAAGCTTAGATATTTTGAAGTGAATTTTTCACATTCCCTCACCACCAACCTTTTTAACATCGGCAATTCCCAAATATCTCTTCTATGATAGAAAGCTATAAGTTTTGGTAAATATTCAAGCTTCAAAGAGGTAACCTGTGGAAAGGCAAAATTAACAACAGTTTTTGCTCCTTCATCCGCAACAATCTCCTCCAAAGCCCTGCAATTGCTTATTTGAAGGTCTTGGAGAGTGGAGAGGCTTTTGGCTGTGGAAACTGGAAACGCATATTTTATATTTCTACATCCATGCAACCTCAAGTGTGTCAAGGAAGACAAGAATGTTGGAGGTTGGCTGTCCCAAATCTTTCTAGAACTAGTAACTTTCAGCTCCAAAGCCATCAAATTGGAGAAATTAACCTGAAGTCAAAGATAATTGATGTTTCAATATTTACTCAAACAAAAAAAAAAAAAAAAAATTAAAGTAATAATTGATTATTATGGATTTATGGTTGACATGCCATTAATATTAACAATGTATTTTTGTCTCTCTAATAATTTTCATCGTGAAATCAAGCATGAAATAATGGAATCAATTTGATAGAAATTACACAGTATAATTATTGAAGAGAAGTACTTAGTAATGAAATTTAACAGAAAATTTAAATCACCAGAAAAAAAAAAACCAAAAAGAGAGGAACAAAAAATTCAATATCACAATTGTGTTAACAAATGAAAATAAGCATAAGAAAAAATAAGAATACATAATAGAGCAGTGCAAGAGGTTAACATTAATCAAACCTTTTTGTTAAAAAGTGGCGTGAGATTGTTATCATCATCTGAAAATTCAACCAACTGTAAGAGTTCAACATTCTTGAAAATTCGTAATTCTTCTAAAGAGATGCTAGAATCATATTTAAATTCCAACATTCTCGACAATAATTCATAGTCCATGCTTAGATATAGGGGCGAATCTCCTATTGTTATTTTGTACCTTCTAAGCTCTTTAAAAAAGAAGTCTTTAGGCAACATCTTGTTATCTTTAATATCGATTTCTAAACTGGTTAGTTGAGACAAGTGCTTCAACTCCTTAAGTTCTTCAACCTTCCATTGAATACAACATCCCTTCATATACAATTCTTCTAGTTGGGATAGTTTTGATATCACATTTGGTGCAATAACCTCTAATTGCTCACAATTGCTTAAGTCCAATAACCTTAGTTGAGTCAATCGACCCATTTCTGTAGGCAACTCCTCAACATTAGTATTTCGCAAGCTAAGGACTTTTAGCTTCTTAAGCTTTCCGATTATAGCAATATCTTCAATACTACTATCGTCTACACACAATGTTTGAAGGTTTGTCAGAAGATCGAGTGACGAGGGCAGCGATGATTGTTGTATTCTAAATAAATTTAAAACTTTAAGCTTTGGCATCACTGTGAAAAACTCCTCAGGGATTCCGACAGAAGAATACTGGTTACTCATGTCAAAAAATTCAAGTTTTGGACAATCTAACCCTTCATTCCAAAGTTGAGTAATAATATTATTATCAACTACAGAGATAATTGTGCATTCTCTAAGTTTATCTTTATCCTTCCATTCGCTTTCAACGTCATTTCTCTCTGTGAACATATGGTGATTTGTATATCCACATGTTATAGCAACAACGCGAACAACATCATGCATAGAAAATCTTCCTTTCGTAGAACCATCGAGTAACAAGCAAGAGTCTTTGAGTTCCTTGACCACTAAATCTAGTCTATTCCGTGCTTCTTCTATTGTAAGGTTAGCTCCTTCAAGTATACCCAAACCAACGATGTTCTTGAACAAGTCTGAAATGGAAGTATTATTTTCCATTAGACTAGAAATTAAGAAAGTTTTCTTGAGCTCATCACCTTCTAAATAATCGTAACTCAACTTAATCTTATAATATTCCCTCTTCAAAACTCTTGGGAACTTTGCTGGGGAAGGCATTCTTAGTTCTCTCAAGGCATCTTCCCATTGAGATTCTTCTTTCTTGTTCCTTAATGCTTTTGCTATGGTACAAATGACAATGGGCAAACCACCACATTCTTTGCATACATCATTTGGTAAAGAATTCAATTCAGGTGTTTGAATGACATTACCTGCACAAGAAGCTAGGATTATACTAATTGCATTTTCTATTCACATGCTTTTGATTTAAAAACAAGACAAGTTCCAAAATAGAAGATTGAAGATGTAAAATCAGAAATTAAAAGGATCTAAGGTGTAACAAATTTTGTTGAAGGATCAATAAAATCGTATTTATGTAAAAAATTACAATTGGGGGCTGGCAAGATAAAGATAAGTGGTGAACTAGTGTCACTCAAAGTTTTTGAACATCTTAAAAGCAAAATACTGCTATTTATTAGTACACGAAATTTTTATATTTAAGTTTAAAAATTCACACTACTAAATTTATTGATTAGTAGAAAAATTGATATTATGCTGTATATATAACTATAGTAAAATAACATGTGTAGTATATATATATATACTTACACAATTTATCATATTTCTAAATTACTAAATTTTAGTTTTTAATTGAATAATCGGGTGAGGTTTATAGCTGCTGGGTAACAGAAGTGGAGGTTACGAAATTAAAAATGAGAAAAATAAAAAAGTTTATTGGACTATTTTTAAATGAATCCGATTAAAAAAATGAATGAAAAGGGAGAAAGAATAGGTTACGAATTTAAAAGAAAAAGAATTTCGGTTGTTAAATTACTTGTAAAAGAATCAAATTAAGAATATGAATAAGAAGAGAAAGAAAAAACTACGGTTATTAGATTAAAAAAAATATAAATATAAATAAAATATAAATGGGTTACACTAAAAAATAAAAAAGATTTAGTATTCCGAAATTACCTTTCTAAACATTTATATTTTTATATAAAAGGGACAATTAAGTCTTTCCATTTTCATGCCCCTTTTGCAAGGACAAATATGGGATTCCATTGCTATACCATTGTTATTACGAATTACCTGTGACCTGTGGATTGTGATTCTTGTGAAGGCAGTTGGTTGAAGATGGGGTTTTTGGCTTTTTTATCATTATTATTATTTGCACATTATATGAATGTGGACAAATACTGAAATACCCTATCCTATTTATATTAACATATCGACTATTAATTGATAAGGACCTAACTGTTACTTTTTGATTTTATTGGACCAAATTTTACTTGATCTAAACCTCAGAACCAAAGTTTGGTTAGAAAGATAAGTTTAAATTAAATTAGACTAGCTTGTAATTAGAAAATAGCCCTATGTTAGAATTGTTTAAGTACATGAAAATTAAACATAGAAATTTGATTTTCAGAATATTTAATTACAAAATAAATAAAACTTATGTCCCTAAGTCAGCACTTCTATTCTATCAATAGACTAATTATACAGATTTTGAAAATATTTCAGGTTATTACTATTTTTAATTTTTCATTATTCACATCAAACCATAATAGAAATTTTATGTGTAATCAAATTAAATGAGTTATAACAATTACCTCCCATTTTCTTGAACAGGGTCCAAGCTTCTTCTTCATTTAAAACGCCCATCCTGAAATTATTCGTGGAACCCATCTTCTCCAACGCATCTAAGTTTCTTGTTGTTAGCAGTAGTTTACATCCCCCACGATCCATTTTAGAAGGAATGCCGATAGTCTTGAGATCAAGATCTTTCCAAATATTGTCTAAAATTAAAAGGATCTTCTTACCACTCTTCAATCTCTCGTATAACTTACTTGCTCTTTCACTTTCGTTATTGAATTTTAGGCCTAACTTATCTGCAATTTCGGTTTGAACTTTTTTTACATCCAAAGTTTCTGTTACCTATAAGACAAGAAATATGGCCAGGTCAAGAACAACATAATTAAAAAATTACTCTAGAACACAAAAATTTATGTTATGTTTTAAGGTATTCATTTGCCTTAACACAAAGAATAAGGAAAATAAGGATGTCTTCATTAATTTAAGAAGGAAGAAACAATGTTATATTGAATGCTTGTTTCTCATATATATAGATGCGAAAAGTCTAATTACTTACACTCAATTAAAATCAATGATATAAATTATATACTAATAATTATCACTAGAAATAAATAATTAAGATAAAATAACATTCCTAATATAACATAATGAAACCTCTTTAATTAGTTTAAACATTACCTCTACAAAAACAATCTCCTTGAATAGCTTATCCTTCTCGGCCTGCCTCCCAACTTCCTGCACAAAAGTGGTCTTACCAAGACCACCCATCCCATAAACACCGATCATGTAGATATTCTCATCTTTTAATGCATCCCATACATCTTTCACAGTGGAGTGTCTTGATTCGAAAGCCAAATAATCTTCATTAGATCTAAGCCATATCTCTGGTGGATTAGTAGGATAAGAAACTTTCTTGAATTCTTGCTGCAGGAGTGGACCAATACGATCCACCATTAATTCGGATGCAGCCGTGATATTTTTGTAGCGGATCTTGTGGTCGTGCCAATTGAACTTTGGTTCTCAATCAGCCCTCTGCTTTAGCGATGATAGAATCAACATCCTGTAGCCACTTCTTCAAATCCTCTTCATCGCTCCACGTTGTTTTCAGCCTCCTCAACCTTACGCTCCACTTTAAGTCTTGCATTCTTCAGCTTCAAAACATCATCTCGGAGCTTGTCAAGTTCGTCTCGTAGTTGGATAGTAGAGTAGTTGAATAGGAAACTTCATCGAATCTTTCTTGCTGCAGGAGTGGACCAATATGATCACCATTAATTCGGATGCAGCCTTGCTATTTTTGTAGCGGATCTTGTGGTCAGTGCCAATTGAACTTGGTTCTCAATCAGCTCCTCTGCTTTAGCGAGATAGAACAACATCCTGTAGCCACTTCTTCACGTCCGCTTCAATCTCTTCTCCCTTGATTTCAGCCTCCTCAACCTTACGCCCCACTTTAAGCCTTGCATTCTTAGCTTCAAAACATCATCTCGGAGTTGTCAAAGTTCGTCTCGTAGTTGGATAGTAGAGTAGTTGAATAAGAAACTTCATCGAATCTTTCTTCTTGCTGCAGGAGTGGACCAATATGATCCACCATTACGGAACAGCCTTGCTATTTTGGTAGCGGATCTTGTGTCAGTGCAATTGAACTTTGGTTTCAATCAGCTCCTCGCTTTAGCGATGATAGAATCAACATCCTGTAGCCTTCTCACGTCCGCTTCAATCTCTTCTCCCTTGATTTCAGCCTCCTCAACCTTACGCCCCACTTTAAGTCTTGCATTCTTCAGCTTCAAAACATCATCGGAGCTTGTCAAAGTTGTCTCGTAGTTGGATAGTAGAGTAGTTGAATAGGAAACTTCATCGAATCTTTCTTCTTGCTGCAGGAGTGGACAATATGTCCACCCATTAATTCGGATGCAGCCTTGCTATTTTGGTACGGATCTGTGGTCAGTGCCAATTGAACTTTGGTTCTCAATCAGCTCCTCTGCTTAGCGATGCAGAATCAACATCTGTAGCCACTTCTTCACGTCCGCTTCAATCTCTTCCTGTATTTCAGCCTCCTCAACCTTACGCCCCACTTGAGTCTTGCATTCTCAGCTTCAAAACATCATCGGCTCTGTCAAAGTTCGTCTCGTAGTTGGATTGTGAATACTTGAATAGGAAACTTCAACGAATCTTTCTTCTTGCTGCAGGAGTGGAATATACCACCGCTTAATTTAATGCCTTCTTGCTATGTTTGGTAGCTGTTGAGTAGTTGGGGCGCAATCCCTTGAACATCGCACGTTTTTTTCTTTCTCTCTAATCAAATCTCTGCTTCATTAATGGTATTGTTCACCTTAGTCTGCCTCCTCAACGCGTCTGTTTGATCGCCCCGTTTATTTTGGCAGCAGTAACCTTCCCTGCACTCTCGTTCTTGTCTCTTCAGCGCATAATCTGTTTCGAGATTTTTTAAATTGGTATTGTAGTTGTACAAGTACTTAAATTGACCAATCGGAGCAGCCAGGCACTTGCCCACTTCGAGAACAGCACTCACCACACTCGCAATACTCCAACGGCGGCAAGTTCAGCCATTTCACAACTTCTTTTTTCCTTCTTCACTTCTTTCTCAGGTTAGAAAAATACAGAAAATATAACAAGTGCAAACCAATAAACAGAAAAGAGTGAGGGAAATGCTGAAATATTTTTTTTTTTTTTTGAAAGAAATAAGGAAAAGGGAAAAATAGAAGAAAATAAAACAGAGAAAGTAACAAGGCAACTGCAAACTGAAATAAAGTTAGGTGAAATAAGAAGATCTTTTTGTTCTTTTTTCCAAACGAAAAATAGAAAATGGGATATGATTCTTGTGGTAAACAAGAATAAGGGAACAGGAGAGGAGTGAAAAATCAAGTGATCTGGTCTCAGAGTAAAAGTATTTTAGCGGTATCTGAAGGGGTGAGGAGGTGTTTCCGCTAGGATAGTGTTTTTGCGTGATTTCTGAAAATGAGAGGATGGAAGAAACTGCGAAGAAGAAGAAAAAGAAAAAGAGAGAGAACACTGTGAACCATAACCATATGATGTTTGGTAAACAAGAGATATGTACCTATTGCTCCCGCAAAATGAATTTGCTCTGAAATTATGAGTATGTTTTCTTGGAAGCTTAGATTATTTGAAGTGAATTTTTCACTTCCCACCCACCAACCTTTCACCATTCCTCCCAACTTCCGGCAATTGCCAAAAATCTCTTCTATGATAGAAAGCGTAAGTTTTGGTAATTTTTCAAGCTTCAAAAAGGTTACCTGTGGAAAGGCAAAATCAACAACAGCTTTTGACTCCTTCTTCGCAAAAATCTCCTCTAAAACCTTACAATTGCTTATTTGAAGACTTGGAGAGTGGAGAGGCTTTTGGCTACAGAAATGGAAATGCATATTTATATTTTTCTACACTCCTTGCAGTTTCAGCGTGTCAAGGAAGACATGAATGTTGGAGTTGTTGGATGTCCCAAACTTTCAGAACTAGTAACTTTCAGTTCCCAGCCATCAATTGGATAAAAACCTGAAGTCAAAGTAATTGATGTTGCAATAGTTATCCATCTGAAAAAAAGTAATAATGATTATTTTATGGATTTTTTTAGAGGACATGCCACATAGTCTTACACCAGGTGTTCTTTTTGTTTCATCATGCGATCAAGCAGAAAAGGCATTTATCAATTTGACCGAAGTTCATCATAGATCTTGCGCTGAAGTATTTTTTTTACCGTTACTGTCATTTCCCCCAACAAATTTGAAATCCCCAGAAAAAGACAACCAAAAGGGAGCAGAGCCTATATTTCACTTACACATGTGTTACCCACATGACAAATAAGTCTCATAAGAAAAACATAAAATATATATAGAGCGATGCAGAGGTTAACATAATCAACTCTTTTTGTTCCACTAGAAGTGGCGTGAGATTGCTATCATCCTCTGAGAACATTTCAGCAACGTAAACTTTAACCTTCTTGCAAATTTGTCATTCTTCTGAGGGATCTAGATCCATATTTAATTCCAACATTCTGGAACATCGTACGTGCTGCACCACTCTTTCGCATTTATATTCGGACTCCATAGCCGTGTGAGTTTCATTCTTGGATCATGTGCACACTACGCGCGGGCTGCCACCACCATCATGCAGCGTTCGGATTAGAGGTTTCCCCCCCCACCCCCTTTTTTTTCTGGGTTCCTGCTCGGTTGTCCCCCCCCCCCCCCCCCCTCCACAGATTCTTTTTTCTTCCACCCGTGTTGGGTATTTTTTTTTTTCCCCCCCTGTTCTTTTCCCCCTTTTTTTTTCCCCCCGTGCCTGTTTCTTTTTTTCGTTTTTTTCTTTTTTTTTTCTTCCCCCCTTTTTTCCGCCGGTTCCTTTCCTCCCCCCCCCCCCCCCCCCCCCCTTTGCCCCCCCCCCCCTCCCCCCTTTTTTTTTTTTTTCCTTTTTTTTTTTTTTCTATTACTTTTTGTCCCCACCCTCTGCATATTTATTTTGCCTTTAAAACAAGAAGCTTCAGGCAAACCCCCCACAGTTTCGTATCTTCAAGATCGTTGATTCTACAACCTGGTTAGCTGTTTACCGACAAGGCCTTCTGGTCTGCCTTGGTTCCTTAACCTACGTCTCCCCACACACCTGAATACTTTATTATTTTCCCCCCCTTTTCACTTTTTTTGTTTTATTGTTTCAGTAATCTTTCCTAGTTGGGATAGTTGCTTGTCCACTATTCTGGCCGCTCCACCCTTACACACTTGTCGATCTCTGTTTATCAGTATTACTAAGTTTGCTAATCATTCCTATCTACGCACTTAGCCAATACCTTTCAACACTTTTCTGAGGTGCTATATTTCTTTTTTTGTTTTACAATTGTTCGCAGCGCAATCCCCACCATCATGATTATTTGTATTTTTCAAGCTAAGGATTTTTAGTTCTCCACACATCTTCCAATATAGCAATATCTTCAATTTTGTGATCTTCTAAACACAAGTTTGAAGATTTGCAAAAGATCCAGAGTGATGATGGCAATGACGATTGTTGGATTTTAAATAAATTTAAAACTTTAAGCTTTGGCATCACCGCGAAAAACTCCTTAAGGATTCTGAAAGAACCCCCTTACTCATTAAAAAAATTCAAGTTCTGGAAATCTATCCTTCAGGCGATAGTTGAGTAATAATGTTATTACCAACTACAGATATCATGTGCATTTTCCAAGTGTTATCTTTATCCTTCCATTCGCTTTCAACGTCATTCTCTTTGTGAACACATGGTGATCTATATCACATGTTATAGCAATATGCGAACAAACATCATGCATAGAAAATCTTTCTTCGGTAGAACCATCAAGTAACAAGCAGGGTCTTTGAGTTCTTGACCACTAAATCTAGTCTATTTCTGTGCTTGCTCTATTGTAAGGTAGCTCCTCAAGTTAACCCAAACTAAAGTATTCTTGAAATAAGTCTGAAAGGGAAGTGTTATTTTCCATTAGACTAGAAATTATGAAGTTTTCTTGAGCTCATCATCTTCTAAATAATCATAACTCAACTTAATCTTAATATCCTTTTCTAAAAGTCTTGTGAACTTTGTTGGAGAAGGAGTTCTTAGTACTCGCAAAGCATCTTCCCATTGAGATTTTTGTCCTTGTTCCTTAATGCTTTTGCTATGGTACAAATGAATAGGCAAACCTCCGCATTCTTTGCATACATCATTTGATAAAGAATTCAATTCACAGTTTGAATAACATACCTGCACAAGAAGCTAGGATTATACTATTACATGTTCTATTCACATGCCTTTGGTTTAAAAACAAGAAAAGTTTCAAGTGTTGTTATTTTCCTAGCTATATATATAAAATAAAATTATGAAAAAAAAAAATGGGAAAAAAAAGAGATCTAAACTATGTTTGGGTCTTAGTAAGTTCTGTCAGAAGTATGTTTGGGGCCATAACTATTAACTGTCGTTAAACGAATTTTTGTTTGGCCCAAGAATTATGATAAGAAGTGTCTATGTGAATAAACTTAAAAAATTAAAAAAATATTCAGTTCTCATTACCGTGAATTTAGGCTGAAAATAATGGGAGTTTTATGCTAAGCACTATAATTAACACGGCGTCTAATAAAACTAATACAAATATTATGAATTAGTTTAAAGCATGCATCTTAATGACTATGCTTAATTTATCTCCATCATGTATAAAGAAGTGTAAAAAAATTCAAAATAGAAGATTGAAGATGTAGAAAAAGGAATTAAAGGGATCTAAGGTGTAAAAAATTCTTACTGAAGGTCGATTAAATCATATTTATGTAAAAATTTATAATTGGAGGCTAGCAAGATAAAGATAAGTGGTCAACTAGTGTCACTCAAAGTTTTTGAACAACATCTTAAAAGCAAAAGTTGTACACCAAATTTGTATATTCAAGTTTAGAATAAAGATAGGTTGACAAACACTTCTCATAACTTTCTCTCACAAACGCTAAGTGACAGTTTACAATTGGTCAGGCAAAAAGTGACCAATTCGAAGCTGACACGTGCGTTTGTGAGAAAGTTATGAAATTAGTTATAAGTGTAGTATTGTTAAATTTATGATTAGAGAAAATTTTATTATGTTTATATACACACCACTTACACAATTTATCAGATTTTTAAATTACTAGTTTTATTTTATTTGAAATATTGGGTGAGGTCTGTAACTGTACTGTTGGTTTTAAAGGGAATAGAGGTTATGAAATTAAAAATGAGAAAGCAAAAACAAGGTTATTCGACTATTTTTCAAAGAATCAAATTAAAAAAATGAACAAAAAGAGAGAAAAGATAGGTTATGAATTTAAAAGAAGAAAATTATGGCTATTAAGTAACTTTTAAAAAAAAAATCAGATTAAAAAATGAATAAAGAGAAAGAAAAAAATGAGTTACACTAAAAGATAAAACAAATTATATTTGGAATTACCTTTCTAACCCTTTACATTTTATTTAAAAGAGGCAATTAATTATTTCCCTTTTATGCCACATGTCAAGGGCAAATAGGGATTTCATTGCTATACCATTG